GGTTGATGAGAAGCTCAACATGAGCCGGCGATGTGCGCTCATAGCCCAGGTCAACTGCATCCTGGGCTGCATCAAAAGCAGTGTGGTCATCAGGGCGAGGGAGGGGATTCTACCCCTCTACTCCACTCTCATGAGACCCCCACCTGGAATATTGCACCCTGCTCTGGCACCCTCGACATAAGAAGGACATGGACCTGTTGGAGAGGGTCCTGAGGAGGGCTCCGAAGATGATCAGAGTGCTGGAGCACTTCTATGAAGATCGGGTGAGAGAGGGTGGGTTGTTCAGCCTGGTGAAGAGAAGGTTCTGGGGAGACCTTATAGCAGCTCTCCGGTATCTGAAGAGTACCTACAGGAAGGCTGGAGAGGGACTTTTTATGAGGGTATGTACTGATGGGATGAGGGGCAATGGCTTCAAAGTGGAAGAGGGGAGATTTGGAATAGTTAGTAGGAAAAAAATTTAACTGTGAGGGTGGTGAGACACTGGAACAAATATCCCAGAGAAGCTGTGGAGGCCCCATCCCTGGAGGTGTTCAAGGTTGGAGGGGGCTTTGAGCAACATGATCTCAGGGAAGGTGTCCCTGCCAGGGGCAGGGGGTTTGGAACTAGATGATCTTTAAGGTCCTTTCCAACCTAAAACATTTTATGATTCTATGATTGTGATTCCCCCCATGGTCTCGTCAGTGAGGGATGTCAGCAGGCCCTGCTGACACCCTCAGAAACCTCCAGGTTTGCGTCTTTTACTTCTCTAGAGGCTTTATCAGTCTTTCATCATCTGCAGCTAAGGAACTTGGCACCAGAGGGCTCATTACAACACAAAACACCCAAAGGAACCAAGTCTGGGCATAGTTTTCTTTTAGTCTTCAGTTCCGATGTAGCTTACCGGAGAGATTTCAGGAGCGCAGTCACAGCGAAAAAATGTCAAAGCAGAGAGACAAAAGGAATAAAATGTTTGGTTTGTAGTAGCCAATTCTGCATTAATCCCAAAGTGTTTACGTTACAGGAATGTCTTCAAGTAGAGTCTGCACATTTTAGACCCACGTTGATGGATTGGCACAGCCCCTGCCACCACCCCACCCCCCCCAAC